CCGGAAGTCATGTAGAAATAGTTTTCCCCAACTACTCCACAGAACCCTGCTACCACGAATAAATTCACCTTCTCCAGTTGAAGCAAAAATTGAGATATAGCGTCCGTTGCTTCAGCCTTCAAAAATTAATCGTGAGAATGTCTCTGAATATTAAAACATGACCATTATACTCCACACAATTCTTAAAATCTGCATCCATTTTTATGCATTATCCACCAAGCGACAAATGCATTTACACAGTATTTTAAAGAAAATGTACCATTTGATCCTGTGTACAAGCAGTGATCTCAGAGTCATCACATTCGACCATCACACACACCCCGTGTCTAGGCTTCTCTAAACTATGATACAGCTGTTATTCTTTATTTGCACTGTAAAAATTTGAAGAACTTATGCACAATTATCTTCTCGATACTGCAATTTAACGAACTAAAGTAGGGATACTAAACGTATTCGAAGCAAATAATGAAACCTCCAGTAGTCGTCTCCAACGATTTTCCTTTATCCGATTTTTCCGAATCATCAGCTAACCGTTCCCCACGAGAAGAAAAAAATTGTTTTAGAAGTGGAGAACTCCATTCCCAAAGAGCGAAATCATTTACAAGTCTGAATAAGCACTGAACGGTAAACTAAACTATCACTACCACTGTTAATGAACACCTCACACTGACATAAAAAAAAATCATAAAGCAATCGACGTTTCAAAATCACAAACTAGAGTTTTTAATGAACTTACCGATTGTACAGCACCTCACAAAAATGGTGGCTTGGCAGCTGTAGTTTCAAGTAACCAGTAAAAACTTTAATTCTAAGGTGCGAATGTTTAGTACTTCGGTTCCCAAAAGCAGACAATTCTTCGCGCTTTCCTACTCTTTTAACCTAGAAATTTTGGAACAATATTCTTTTTATTTAATTAAAGCAATATAAAAGAGCCATCTCAAATCCATACAGTCAATCATATAAAAGCTCTATTCAAATCGTATCTGACGTCGTTAGAAAACAGGTTTACAGAACTACGAATCTCAAACTTTCGCTTGTCAAGTTGGAAAATTATTCCTTTCACTACATCACAAATGCAGTAGCTCTTTTAAAACATCATCTACATGCGGCATATATAAAGAAACTTTTCCAAAAAACCGACAATTAGCAGTTCTAGTGTAGTATTCTTGCATCCCAAAAGCTATTGATTACATCGAACTCCTCCTACTTAAATGAATAATAAATAAACTTTAAGACCTAACAATAGTAGGGTTTTTAACGTTTTTTCGAATAGAAAATACAAATTACTTGCATGACTTCAAACTTCTTGGAGCTGTTAAGTCGCACTCTCAGATGGAAGAAAAAATAACAAGCCATGATGATGACACGAGGAAATGTTTGAAAAAAAGCCTACCAAAACGCGGCATTTCGATATTTCAGCCGACAAAATCAAGATGCCACAAAAGACCATCTGGAACTGATGGCGAAACCTTATCACTCGACAAAAAAAAAGCAATCCTCTTATAAACCACACTCTCGAGCTTCCTCTCCTTGTTCACTCCACAACCCCTTAGTCCACTCTAATTTCGTAGCTTTAAGAAAATTCCCAAAAAAACTTCTTCTCTCCCAAAACAAAGCTGAGACAAAGTGGTAAGTTTACGTAAACAATTATTTAACATTTTTGCAGTAAACAGCACAGAGGACGCTCCGCGAGGCTGAACAGAAAAAGATTTCCAAATTACCTGTACAATAAGAAATTAAAATAACAGAAATGTTAATAATTTTGTTGCTTAGAGTGGTTCGACTTTAGCCAAAAAACTCAAAGCATCATCGCTCTGATAAGATCACGGTCTGCATACAACGAATCCAAAGAGACTAAGTCCACACAATCCAATCTCACAACCTTGCTGTTCTTAAAACTTCGGAAATATCTAAAGTTACAGTTCCCAAGTGTTCAGTGCAACTTCGAAATCTCTGTCAGTACTTTTTCAGTAGAGGATCCTCAACGAGAAGCCTATAGTAGATCAGAGACAGAGCAGAATATCTTGCTCATCGCTTGACTTAACCGTACAACAAGAAACAGCAGAAGATTTTGGCAGAAATAAGAGGCTCTGAAAAAGAAGCAAAAAATCTGCAAATTACCTCTCCTCCTTCATAAAAAGTGACATCTACGGAAAAAGGGCTGTCACCATTTGCCGCGCAACTCACTACGTCCTCTTTCTTTAGAAAGGATGCCCCTTGATCGCTGTTTAGGGATTCATGATCTAATTCACGCTTAAAACCTCCAACAAGTTCCTCACTGCTCGTTTCCTTCAAGCACTCGTTTAATTTACCATCTTCAAGGCTGCTGTCACGAAAATCATAATCAAATTGTATTCTAAAAAGTTTAGTTAAATTACAAAAAGCCCTTATAATTTCCAACATTTTTTAAACAAAAAACTGGAGTAATTGTATTTTGAGGTGTAAAAGAACTACCTTACACCGTCACCTTGTTCCTTCCTTCTACAGCTAGCGTACAGAAACTCCATGTCGTCACCATCAAATTGGGAAACACTGTTCACTCCAAAGAAGAATCCTAAGAAGAGGAAATTCAATTTGAAAATTATAAGGGAGTCTATGGTAGAAAGAAGCAATCACCAAGCAGTTCTGACGCTGAAAGCGTCACTCGACCCAAACGGCAAAGCTGTGTGATTTCAGAGACTGGCAGTTCCAACACTACGTTATGAAATTCCAGGCGCAACGTTTCATTTCGCAAATGACTCATCCAGTACGGTATTCGTTCAGAGAGTGAAAATACAGCTGGGAACCTGCAACAGAATCTATTCATGGTGGCTGCTAATGAACATAATCAGAGTAAACATAAAAGGATAAAAAATCCAACTCATAAAACACTTTAGAAAGGCAACTTCAAAAAATTTGAACTCATAATTAAGGGCAGAGAACAATACTCACCTAACATTTACTGTCCAAACTGGACACTTCAATATAAAACATATTTTTTCCTGCGACTCTTGAATACCAAGTACTCCTGAACCAATACTGTTTCTAGAATAGAGAATCCGTACTCTTAACCCTTTACTTTTGGTATATTAAGTCATACAATAAACCACAGCATATGAAGCTACGAGGTAACAAGATCTAAATAAACTGAAGCAAGCTCCGAAAAATACCCAGAATATAATGGACGAGTACCCCAGCTGCTTTTGTCAGATGAGAAACTATAGCCTTTATAAAACGGAACCCTTACGAGAAGTGATGATATTCTATCTATCAGCGACATATCTACTACGGTACTGCACTGTTGCAGCTGTATCTCTGCATTGTACTCCTAAAAAAATATAAATATACATATAAATGTAAATACAAATATAAATATAAATATATAAATAAATAAATAAATAAATAAATAAATATATAT